GCATCGGACTCCTTGCTTAGAGGGAAGCCTGTTCTCCCTCTCCCTCTGCCTCTGCCCCTGCTTGTGTTCCCTCTCTCGCTGTGTCTCTCTCTGTCAAATAAATAAAATCTTTAAAAAAATAAAAATTAAAAAAAAATAAACTACTTAAAAATTATGCTAGTATATTAGACTTGCCACTAGATCTCTCATTTAATATGTTAAAAGCACACATTACTATGTTTCAAAGTTAGTATTTTGCTAACCATATTTCAATATAATTGGTTTCCTTTGTAATCCCAAGTACTTTATTTTGTGAATTCTGAGACATTCTGAGATGGATCCACAGGTTTCACTAGACTGTTGAAGGGGTTCCATGGCACCAAAACAAGACTGGAAATTCCTGCGGTAAACGGAGCACAAAGGGCACAGTCTTCACATTGAAAAATTCTGTCTGGGCAGGTGTTATGGATCAAAGCAGCAAAAAGTCCAGAAACTAAGTATTTTAAGCTAATTGTATGGGAAGTTGGGGGAGACAAAGAGACCAGACTGCAAAAGCCTCTTAAGTTTCCAAAATAATACCCAAGCTCATCAACAAGAAGTGAGCTATAAAAGCTGTACATTTCCCAGAAAGGGCATCTTCACTAATATCCATCTCAGATGTGGTCATGGAAGATAATGGACAAGGTAGGATCTTTCAGAAGGCATAGGAGACAATGGAGGCCCTACCAAAGAGCAAAATCAAGGAACTTACTACACTGTCAAGGAGTCACTGTCACTTCTACCCAGTAAGATTTTATGATGCACTAATGACTACTGAGTGTTTCCCATTATCCCCTTTTCTGAATAATACCTTTTATTGCTGTTATCCTAATCATTCTCCACCACTACATATTAGGTAGAATGTAAATAACTCATCTGGTTTATAGATCTTTGATCCACAAGAAGCCACACCAGGATCTGATGAAAGAGACTGTACCTAAAGAGCTTAGATTTTCAGCTAATTATAGTAACTGGATGAAACTCTGGGTTGTCTCTCTTGAGAAAAGAGCAAGTAAGTTCAATACATAGAAGAAAGAGCGCATGTGAATATTTGTGTACCCATAGGGGCAAATTGTGGTGGAAACCTAAAAAAGAAAATAATCTACTACAGATTGACTCTATATTTTATAAGCATAGGACATAAAATTTTAACTTATAAATGAGGTAATAATTTAAGCTATTTCCAAGCAAAAGCAGCTGGTGTTACTTTAGTTTTCATATACCAGCAAAATCAAAGTTTCTACTCTTAGTTCAATTTCAGCAAAATTAACAGCGTCCTACATTGGAAAAGGTATGACTTAGTAATTAAGAACACCAGGCTGCTGAGCAAGTCTGCCTGGATTAGAATCTAAACTCTTCCACTTTAAGCTATGTGACCTTACACAAGTAAATTAACCTTTTATGTCTCAGTTCCCTCATTTGTAAGATGAAGATAAAGATAGTACCCAACCCAAAGGATTGCTGTGAGGATTAAATGAGTTAATGCATACAAAGCACTAAGAATAGTTTCTAACACACAGTCAGTAATTTTATTACCAAATGCATACTCTTCAGAACTTTCTAAATTTTATTTCATTTTTTAAAAAGATTTTAAGTAATCTCTACACCCAATGTGTGGCTCAAACTCAACCAAGATCAAGAGTTGCACACTCTACCAAATGAGCCAGCCAGGCACCCCAGAATTTTCCAAATTTTAAATGGTTGTCACTCTTACTCAGTGGTTTTAGACTTACATGTCCTAAATGATACAATAATCATTTAGCAGCCTCAATGGAAATGAGCCCCTCATATTTACTCTAAAGTGACCCAGAAAGTATTAGGTTTTAAAATTTTGTTTGTAGACTATATATGAGAATTGAGAACATACTTTTCCCCATAGAAATAAGATGATATGATGATTCCTGAAGCAGCCCACAAAATCCTATTATTCCATAAAGGAATTCCAAGTCAACAGTTCTTGAGTATAAAAGCCCCAGTCAGATATCTTGCAGCAGAGAGACAAAGGAGTAACAAGGAAAAAAAAGAAATCAGCTTTTCCATTTTCCTGGTGCAAGACCAGCTTAATCCTGACAAAATTTCAATATGGTTTATATCTGGCATACTTCTAACTACTTTCTATACTTTGGTTCTCCCATCTCACATGCCCTAAGCCTCTAATATTGGCATTATAAACTCCAAAATTACTTGCTCTTCTCTTCCAGTAAAAACTCCCAGCTTTTCAAAACAGTTGATCTCTGCTCCATTTAGGTGAAAAATGGACAGTATCAAACTAATCTCCACCAAGATACTTCCTATAAGTAATGACCTTTTTAAAAAATAAGCGGAAAAATCCTCACTGGTTTGAAGTGAAAATACAGGTGGAAGAATCATAATTTAGGAGAAGGAATCCAATAAACAAATAGTAGGTCACTCTTCAAAACTCTTGACTTTCACAACTTCTCTTCCCCCTTAAAATTCCAAGAATATTCACAACACAGCTAATGCAAAAATCCGGGAGATTTGGGCGCCTGAGTGGCTCAGTTGGTTAAGTGACTGCCTTCAGCTCAGGTCATGATCCTGGAGTCCCGGGATCGAGTCCCGCATCGGGCTCCCTGCTCAGCAGGGAGTCTGCTTCTCCCTCTGACCCTCCCCCCTCTCATGCTCTCTCTGTCTCTATCTCATTCTCTCTCTCAAATAAATAAATAAAATCTTAAAAAAAAAAAAAATCCGGGAGATTTAGTGATACAAGTGTCATTTGTAAAACTGTTGTGATTTCAGAGCTATTTATCATAAAATCAGAGATGAAAAAGAACCTCATTCGGTCATTTCTTAAAGTCCTGGTATTACCTATTTTGGAGACTAACAATATTCTTTTTTTTTTTTTTTAATTTTATTTATTTGAAAGAGAGAGAATGAGAGAGAGCGAGAGAGAGCACATGAGAGGGGGGAGGGTCAGAGGGAGAAGCAGACTCCCTGCTGAGCAGGGAGCCTGACGTGGGACTCAATCCTGGGACTCCAGGATCATGACCTGAGCCGAAGGCAGCCACTTAACCAACTGAGCCACCCAGGCACCCCGAGACTAACAATATTCTTTAAGATCTCCAAGGGAGGGGCGCCTGGGTGGCTCAGTCGTTAAGCGTCTGCCTTCGGCTCAGGTCATGATCCCAGAGTCCCGGGATCGAGCCCCACATCGGGCTCCCTGCTCGGCGGGAAGCCTGCTTCTCCCTCTCCCACTTCCCCTTGCTTGTGTTCCCTCTCTCACTGTGTCTCTCTCTGTCCTATAAATAAATAAATAAAATCTTTAAAAAAAAAAAAAAAAAGATCTCCAAGGGAAGAAAAGTTCACAACTTAATCTGTTCTAAGGTATGTTACTCTAAGGTATGCATTTTGTTTGTTTGGTTGGTTGGTTTTTTTAAAGGTTTAACTGGCTAGGGGCGCCTAGCTGGCTCAGTTGGTAGAGCACGCAACTCTTGATCTTGGGGTCATGAGTTTGAGCCCCATGGTGGGCACAGAGATTACTTTAAAAATAAATAATTTTTTTAAAAAATTAAAAGTTTTAACTGGCTAATCTGTATCTCCCTTGCTACGGAGAAGAAAATTTCTTTAAATTCTCTCTTGGAAAATGAGAACTGGTCAGAGTTCTATTCATAATGATGCTTCACATATTTTACAATTTTTTTTTTTTTTTTTTTTTTGCGAGAGAGAGAATGAGAGAGAGCACGAGAGGGAGGAGGGTCAGAGGGAGAAGCAGACTCCCTGCTGAGCAGGGAGCCCGATGTGGGACTCGATCCAGGGACTCCAGGATCATGACCTGAGCCAAAAGCAGTCGCTTAACCAACTGAGCCACCCAGGCGCCCACATATTTTACAATATTAACACAACTTTTTGTGTTCCCTTTTCTCTAAGTTTTAAAGTCCAGAACTTCTCCAACAGGATCTGAATTTGGAACCCTAATATATTTATTGCTCTTCTCTAGATTCTCTCCAAATTACTCCACATATAATCTTAAATTCATAAAACTATATTCTAAATTCAGACAAGTCATACTCATAGTTAGAACTCCATTCAGGGTACAAATTTAGGGATCATGTAGCCAAAAGATATTTTCACACTATATGTGTGATTCTCATCTTAGGTGTCTTTTGCTCCACAATGTAGGAAGGAAATATAAACATTTTTGGACATTAACCACTCAACTATATTCTGTCATCAAGTAAATACTGTATTTTGCATTTAAATCTCACCTACTGGAATCTGAGTAGTTGGAAAGGCTGATGAACACTAGTCCCTTTAACACAAGAACACTCAAAGCCATCTTTGTAGCTGTTATTTAAAAAAAAACACACACAGGGGCACCTGGGTGGCTCAGACAGTTAAGCATTTGACTCTTGATTCTGGCTCAGAGTCCTAGGATCGATTCCCGTATTGGGCTCTGTGCTACTGAGCTTTGAGCCTGCTTAGGATTCTCCCTCTGCCCCTCCCCTGCTCAGGTGCGCCCTGTGCGTGCACTCGCTCTCTCTTTAAAAAAAAAGGAAAAAAAAAGTTAAAAACCCTGGGGCGCCCATGTAGCTTGGTGGGTTAACTGTCTACCTTCGGCTCAGGTCATGATCCCAGGGTTCTGGGATCAAGCGCCATGTCAGGCTCCCTGCTCTGCGGGGAATCTGCTTCTCCCTCTCCCCTTGCCTCTCCCCCGATTGTGCTTTCTCTCTGGCTTGCTCTCTCTCAAATAAATAAATAAAATCCTTAAAAAAAAAAAAAAGTTAAAAACCCAGACAGAACCTGCTATTAACACTCCTTATACTTAGTTTAAAATATGTATATATATAATGTCCATATAATAAAAGTCCTCTGAGTAACACATATCCACTGGTTCATCCTATCTCATTAAAGTGTTTATCCTAACCTCTCTACAACCATACTGCTTTAGCTCACTATACATTATACCAGTAGTAGGGCATCAGTGCTGGCAGAGGCTAACATCGCGGAAGGTAATCCTGTCTTACCTTTTAGGGTTAACTATGATGCACAGAAAATGCTAAACAGCTTAAACTTCTACATGTGATGTCTAGGATTCAGTTGTCCTCAAAGTGTGGTCCAGACACCCTTTCAGGGAATCTGAAGGGTCAAAACAATTTTCACAGTAAGATGTTATCTGCCTTTTCCACTCTCATCCTCTGATAAACGTACAGTGGAACTTTTCACATGCTATGTGATGGGTGTTATCACATCAGACTGAATGCAGAGGCAGAGATGAGAATCCAACTGTCTCTATTAAATGTTTTAAAAAAATTTGCAGAAGTTGGGACGCCTGGGTGGCTCAGTTGGTTAAGCATCTGCCTTCAGCTCAGGTCATGATCTCAGGGTCCTCGGATCGAGTCCTGCATCAGGGTCCTTGCTCAGAGTGGAGCCTGCTTCTCCCTCTCGCACTCCCCCTGCTTGTGTTCCCTCTCTCGCTGTGTCTCTCTGTCAAATAAATGAATAAAATCTTTAAAAAAAAAAAAAAATCTAAATGAACAGACCTTCTGTTCTAAGAGCATATCAATCATTATCAGCTTACATAATACATCAATACTGATTATCATTCCATGATGTGAAAGGGTCTGAAAAGGACTAACTTCCACAGAAATCCCAGTGCTATTTAGGGTAGAATGTTTACTAGTCATCTATAAAAAGCTGTGCAGCTTAAACTTAGTAGACCCTAAGGGAGTCTCTCTGCCTAGAGACTTATCCTGCTTGTTCTATCGGTTCCTAAAGACCCCACATTTTTGTGTTTTTTTGTTTGTTTGTTTCTTGTCATCATCACTTCAAAGTTTCTCAGCTTTGCTGTCTTTAACACAGACTTTATCCTTTTTCTTCTCATCAAGCATAGCAACTCCTTCCATAAATCGTCACAATCTTTTCTTAATGGAACAACCTATTTCCTCCCATGTGCTCAAGTTCTTTACCATCGTCTAAAAATTTACTTGGCAATTTGTAAATATGAATTTTTCTTTACCTCAACTTTCAACCCACCACTAAGCAGATACTTGATTATCAGGTTCTTTTCTCAACTTGAAGAGAACAGAGTACTTATGACTACCAGATTTCAAGACTTACTGTAAAACTACCATAACCAAGACAAGTGGTTTTAGTAAAAGGACAGACATATAAATCAACAGAACAGGGTCCAAAAATGGATCCACCCATATATGGCCAACTTATTATTATTATTATTGAAGTATAGTTGACATACAATGTTATACTAGTTTCAGGTGTACAACATATTGATTCCACAATTCTATGTTACTCAGTGCTCAATACAGTAAGTACAGTCACCAGTAATAACGTTACTACAATATTACTGACTATATTTCCTATACTATACTTTTCATCTCCATGACTTAATTTATTTTATAACTGGAATTCTATACCTCTTAATCCCTTTCACTTATTTTACTGGTCAACTGATTTTTGATAAAGGTGCCAAGACAAGTTACGAAAGACTTTTCAAAAAATAATGCTGAAACAACTGGTTATCTGTATGAGAAAAACATAAACAATGTCCCTTATGTCACATCATACACAAAAACCTGCAAAGTGAGTTACAGAAAGTAAAAGTTAAAACTATAAGACATCTAGAAAAAATCATGAGAGAAAATCTTTTTAACATTTAATTAAGCAAATATTTCCCAGATAGGACATGAAAAAAAAATCACAATTCATAGAAGAAAACAATTGGTTAAGTTGGACTTTATCAAAATTAAAAGCTTCTGTTCTTCAAAAGACACCACTAGGAAAATGAAAAGACAAGCCACAGACCGGAAGAAAATGCAAAGCATGTATCTTAAGAAGGATTTGTATCTCAAGTCCTTTGTATTCTCAAAACTTAATAATAAAAAACACTCAATTTTTTTAAATGGGCAAAAGATCTGAACAGATACCTCAACAAGAAGATATATAATGGCGAAGAAGCACATGAAAAGATGCTCAAGATCATTAGTCATTAAAAAATCACAAATTAAAATTATACTGGGGTATCACTACATACCTATTAGAACTGTACCCAGTGTTGCCAAAAATATGGAGCAACTAGAACTCTCACACACTGCTAATGGGAATGTAAAATGGTACATCACTTTCAAAAACAGTTTGACAGTTTAAGAAGTTAAACCTTAATTAACCTACCATATGATCCAATTATTTCATTCCCAAGTATTCACCCAAAATATATCGTATGTCCACACAAAGACATACATATAAATGTTCACCACAGTAAGTACAGTCACCGGTAATAACATTACTACAATATTACTGACTATATTTCCTATACTATATTTAAAATAGCATTTTTACTTGTAATAGCTAAAACTGGAGAACAATCCAAATACGCACCAACAGGTAAATGTTGTTGCACACATAACCAATGAACCAAAAAGGTATGAACTATTGATGCATGTAGTGACACCGGTGAATCTCAAGGTAATTATGCTAAATGAAAGAAGCCAAACAAATAAAAGGATAATACTATACAGTTCCAGTTCTATACAACTTGAGAAAATGCAAACATACATTTAGGGACAGAAAAGCAGATCAGTTGCTATCTTGCAGAAAGTGACAAGAGGGCACACAGCAACACCAGGAAACTTTTGAGAATGACGGATATATTGTGATTGTAATTTTATGGGGGGGGGCTTATCAAATCATACTATATCAATTACATCTCAATAAAGGTGTTTTTTAAAACTGTTTTAAATATGTATGTGTGTGTGTGCGCAATCTGGAGTAGTTAGGATTTCTCAGCTAAGACACAAAAAGAAAAAAGAAATTGGAAGGAAAAAATTTAAAACTTTTTTGCTCTAACAAAAAACTTGCATCCAGAATATTTAAAGAACTCTAACAATGCAATAAGATGACACTACCCAGTTTTAAAATGTGCAAGATTTGAATAAAGACATACAAGTAGTCAATAAGCACATGAAAAGATGTACACCATTAGTCAACAGGAAAAGACAAATTAAAATCACAATGAGATACCACTATATACCCATTAAAATGTTTAAATCAATTTGAAAACCAGTAGTATCTTCCTTTATGAATTTAAACTCCATAGGTTTTATCTTGATATCAATAACAAAAATAACTACATTTGTGCTGTAAGGTAAAGCATGGATGATTATCCCCATTTTATACGGCTTCCAATCCAGTGATCCTCTGATTACATTGCATGGGCTTCTTGGGGTTTTATTTTTTTAATTATCTATAGGCCTACCTGTAATAAAGAAGCACTATCTTTTTCTCAGACTCTACCTATTCAAATAGTCTCATCTTTCCGTAACTTCCAATTGTGCTTTTTTACATAGCTATCACTTTCCAAATTCCAAATATACATAGGGGGACTGTAGAAAGAGTGTTAACTTTGAAGAAAGCGGTTCCTATGCTTAAAATCTCCATTCGGGAGCGCCTGGGTGGCTCAGACGGTTAAGCGTCTGCCTTCGGCTCAGGTCATGATCCCAGGGTCCTGGGATCGAGCCCCACATCGGGCTCCTGACTCAGCGGGGAGTCTGCTTCTTCCTCTCCCTCCGCCTCTCGCACCGCTCATGCTCTCTCTCTGTGTCTCAAATGAATAAATAAAATCTTTAAAAAAAAAAAAATCTCCATTCAGCACCATAACCTTCAACAGGGACCTGTCCGTAAGCACCTATCCTTCAGGCTCTCAAGTAAGCATCATTATGGGGCAAAATAATTTTTCTGTTGTCCTTTTCTTTTGTTGTTTCTAGGAGAATCTTGAATGCTAGTAAGCACATAATGAGTACATATTCAATATGTATCTGTCAAACTAAACAAAACTGGAACTCTTAGTCCAATTCCAAATCTACAACTCCAAAAGGAAGGTGAGAATCAAATCTCCCATTCACTACCCATATGACTATAAGGAAAGGGTCTGAATCCTAAAAAATATCCTCTCTTGAAATCCTAACTCTTTTCACCCAACACTGGATACATGCTGCTTTGTATCAGACACTTCCTGTAGTATTTTGCCTAGCTCACCGTGCCCTATCACTGAGTTGTCTCCATCCCCAGGGCCCTGAAAGTCTTACCTATACCATAGCTATATGAGTACTACAACAAATTAAAGGATGAGAACCAGGGCTGACACCTGACCTAAGTTGTTCACCTGAATTTTCTTCCTTAGGAATTCAGAATTAGGACTGAAATGGTTTGGTTTGGTCTCCTGAATAAAGAAACTATGAACTTGAGAGGTACGGGATGCCCATATGCCAGAAAGGTAAAGAAAGCTGGTTTGTAGAAATGAAGAAATAAATTACAATCAGAGAAAAGCAACAAAGAAGAAAGTATACTGCCTAGGTTCCTAAGAACCTGGGTTCTATCCCCTCAAGAGATCCAGCTATCCCTCAGTTCTGTGAAATACCCCAGTATTCTCCACAAATAAAATCCCTTTGTTTTGTTTGATATATCCAGTGCTGGTTTCCTTTACTTGCAGCCAAGCAAAGCTTGACTAAAATAAGTTTACTAAGTCAAATCATAACACTTTATTTTTCAGTATTATTTTATACCTTAAACACTGTTGACAGGTACAGATTTTATATTTAACTCCTCTTTTACTTTACCAATATACCCAGTGATGCTTTTTATTCCCTATTACCTCTGATATTATTTCCCCCACATATATGAATCCATGACAACTCAAATTTCTCCACCATCTCCCCATAAAAAAAAAACTTTCATAAGATTTTTTTTCAATTTTATCACTAGTTTTCTATCACTTTTTTCCCTGTTTCCTGCATTGATATTTTCCTTTTCTAATTATTTTTATGGTATCCTCAATTAAGTGGAATATTTTTGACATCCCTCATTTTAAAAAAACACCTCAAATGATGATGAATACTGACAGCCAAGAGGCAGAACTTCGTGATTAAGAGCATGGGCACTGGAGCAAGGCCTACATATGAATTCCAGCTCTGTCCCTTTATTCACTGCATGTCCTTCAGCTAAGCTTAACTTTTGTATCTCTATTTCCTCATTTATGAAATGAGGTACCAAACTTATAGAGCTGTTAGAGGGATTTAATTAATATACTTTAAAATGCTTAAATAATGCCTGGTCTAGTAGTGAGAACACCATAAAAGCCTAGATATATCAAAGTCAGTATTTAGTCACAAAAGTAACTTTTAATAGTATGTCCTTAAGTCAATGACTAGTCAACGATACTCTTCAATATCTAATACTCAGAAATGGAAACCCTAGGGCATTCGGTCATCTTAGATCAAAGATTAAATTACATTTAGGATGCTCTAAGCCAGCACTGTCCAACAGAACTTTCTGCAACAATGGAAATATATGTGTGCTATCCAGTATGCTAGCCATTAGCCACGTGTGGCGCCCCTTATTTTTATTTTTAATTAACTTAAATAGCCACATGAGGCTAGTGGCTACTATATCAGACAGTAAAGCTTTACAAGATAAGCCAGAGGGGCACCTGGGTGGCTCAGTTGGTTAAGCATCTGCCTTCACCTCAGGTCATGATCCCGGGGTCTCGGGATCGAGCACCGCATCGGGCTACCTGCTCAGCGGAGAGCCTGCTTCTCCCTCTCCCTCTGCCTGTTGCTCCCCCCGCTTGTACGCTCTCTCTCTCTCTCTCAAGGTAGAATCTTAAAAAAAAAAAAAAAAATCAATGACAAACAATGGTTTTCTATCCACACATTTAAGAATAGCAACTTTCTGCTTTATAGATGGACCGTACAGAATATTACAGAAATGAAAGATGTATATAAGGATACTAAATAACCCAACTCAGACACCGAATACTAATTAAATACTAAATGTATAGCTACAGGCACAAAAAATTTGGTTCAGAATATTGTTCCTCTAACACATAAGGTAAGTCTCCTGCCTTATCGGTTCCTGGATTCCCTCTGCCAGGAATGCTCATACTCCACATACCCAAAATCGAAAAGTCCATCACTCTCTCAGATTTTCAAATGTCACCATGTCAGTAAAGCTTTCCTTGGCTAAAATAACACACACCCCTATATTTCCCATTCCCCTTCTCTATTTTATTTTTCACCTTAGCCCTCATCACTGTCACTAACATACTTCTTGTGCTCGCTTTAGCACCATATATACTAACAGATATTTCTTGTTTATTAACTGTCCCTTCACCAGAATGTAGCTCCATGATTATAGGATTTTTATCTGTTATGTTCACTGCTACAGTCCTAGCATTTAGAATAGTGCCTGACAACATATTAGATGCTCAATATGCTGAATGAATAAATAAAACACCTAGCTGCAGCAGTTACATGTGACCAGTAGATACTGCCATCAACACTTCATGTTCTAATCTGAAAGATTTCAATTAACAGAT